TAAAGTAAATAAATATAAAATTAAAATAAATTAATAAAAATAAACTAATTATAAAAATAACTAAACTATAATTAAAAACTAAGGCCTTAACTAATATTTAATAATAAAACAGGACTAAGATAATTTTATAAAGTAGAATTATCACCACATCATTAATGAGGTAAAATAAAAATTTTCTAAAGACTTAAACTTAAATATTAAAAAGTAGTTAATAATTAATTAAATAAATAAATCTCTTTTTTTTTTCTCTCTAACTCTCTCATGTAAATGTAAAAGATAAGAACATTGAACATTTAAAAAGAAATAAATAAAATTAATTATTTAAAATATTTTTTAATTTAAATCAAATTAATTCAAATTCATTAATTAAGCACACGTGATACTTATTTATATCATCCACATATAGAAAGTTAGACTATCCAAATAGGATAAACACTTCTAAGCTTGAAGGGGTAAAAAAAAAATTTAAAATTTAGAAGGGCTAAACTATAAAATTTTTTAAAAAATAAAGGTAAAACTATAAAATTTTAAAACAAAATAAAAACAAAATTATAAATTTTTGAAACTTTTGAGGATAAAAACAAAATATTCAATATTTGAAGAAACAAAATTATAATCTTTTTTAAAAATTAAGAGTAAAATTAGAAACTTTTAAAACAAAACAAAGATAAAAATTATAAATTTTTGAAACTTTGGGAGGAGGCGAGCCCTACTAGGCCCCCTCCCTCCGCCATTGAGGACAAATGTCTATATTGTCGAACATTTTATCATTGATATATTCTTATCAAGCTAATGGTGTTATGGCAAAAAAAAAATTATTGAAGATGAATCGTGATTTAAAATATTTTTTACAGGTCTCAATCCAAATAACAGAAAATATTTTTGGTAATTTAACTAAATAATATAAAATTAAATTTTTCAATAAAATATTTAAAAAACTCCTTTAACAAATTATTATCAAACAAAACCTAAGAATAATTTTAAAACACTCAGCTAATAAAACGTGCGATGAATCAAGAATTGACTTACAATAATAAACACACATATGCACCGTTGGGCTGGTCCAAAAACAAGTATTACATTTTTTGGGTCTAGTGCTCCATGAATCAGACAAAAACAAAAGAAGTAGGAGGTAGATGCCTGCTAGGGTAGGGCTGAGGCCGTTAGGCAACAGCTGAGAGTCCATTTTTGAATTTCCACAGGCTCAAAGCCCCCATTCCATGTTTGTTTCAGATGAGGACAGAAGGAACAACCTCATCGCATCATAAACTTACTAGATTTTAGGCACTCCAGCCACTGACAAATAGTTTAATAATCTTTTTTTTAATGCTTAAATGCCGTCAATCAATCCGTTAAACAAGAAGCGTGAATGCATTTTTTATATTATTAAATTTTAGTTTAAAACCATGAAATTTTAAAATTAACGAATGAGATTTAAAATTTGACACGTGTTTCATTAAATAATATTTAAAAAATTAATATAATAATTAAATAAAGATATGTAGCTCTCTACCTTTACTTGTAAAGTTTAGAAGGTCCACCTAATATATCAGATAATAATCATTAATATTCATACAGTTTTAATATATCTTACGTGTGGTGATTAATTTGAGATAAAAATAATAATAATAATAATATATTTGTTTCGCACTATTTGACTAATAGAATGGAATAAGATTAATATCTTCAACAGTTGGAAGACCTTTATTTTTTTTAAGGGTAAACATCTACGTCTACCTATATTAAAAATTGTCCCTAAATAGGCTAATTGTTTGATATGTATATAGTGTAATTGTTTGACATATAGGGGCTTGATTTGGGTTGAATTGCCCATGGGATATGTGTGGTATTTTGTTATTTGTTGAGGGTGTTTGTTTGATTTTTTTTATAATGAGATTTTGGGTATTTGAGAATATATTGAGGATGATTTTGTCTATTTATGTTTACTTTAAAATATTACTTAATAATATAGATTTTTAAATAAAAAATATTTTTTATATTAATTTATTAATTAAAAAACATATTCTTCAACATATTGCTTAATAATATAGATTTTGTCTATTTATGTTGTTCTTTTGTTTAGTTTTTCTTCAAGTCATAGAAATTGGTTGTTGAGTTTTTTTCTTTTATTTTTATTTTGGGTCTATTTTGTTTTTTTAATGTTTTTGGATTTAGGGATTTTAGGTTGTATATAATTGCTTTTTGCTATAATTCCTCAGTGTGTGTTTTTTTTTATTTGTTTCTCATTGATGATGGTATGTTATTTGTTTTATTTTGTTTAATTATTATTATTAATTTTGAAGGCATTTTATTTATTTTAATGTTAAGGGCATCTTAAACAGGAGACTATGGGGAGCATGATTTGTTAAAAAGGAAAAAAAAAAGAAAAAGTTGAAACCTAATAAACGGGTATTTTTTTTGTGAGTTTTGAAATTGAATTCTTTATTTAGTTTTTCTTTCTTTTAATTTTTTGCTATTATTTCTTAAATTTTTTATTTTTTTACTAATACTATTTATGATTTCATCTTTTTTGAGAAAAATTGTCATACAAGTAAATATTAACCACCCATTTGTTGTTATTTTTTTATGCATGAATTTTTCTGTTTTTTAAATCGATCTGATTTTTGGATTAATTTCTTGAAAAGCTATTGCTTTATTTTATTATATAATCTTGGGTTTTACAAGTTTAAGATAACTTCTAATTATAATTATTTCAAAGGTATTTTATATATTTTTTTTATTTTGATTATTCAAGTTTTCATTATTTGAGTTCTTTATTATTTTTATTGTTATAATGTTGTTACTTCCATACATAAATTTCTATAGTTTTGCTCTTCATTTCTTCCTCATTTTTTTTCTTCTTTTCTTTTTATTTTCTCAACTTATTTCTCTTTTGAATCAAATCTCTAATTTTTACTATATTTGTTATTTTTGTTTTCACTTTAAACTTTTTTACATGTAACTAATTTATAGATATGTATTTAATTTTTCAATTTACTTTGTTTTTAAGAGAAAAAATAATATCATTTGTGAATTTTTTACCTGTGTTTCAATACCGTAAATAGTCTCCAAGTTGTTGACAGATAGATAGCCATCAAAATATTTATTTACTTTTTAATATTTATCTGTACAAATTACAATGTAATTTTATATTTATAAATAATATATTAATTCATCATTTATTTTTAAATAATAGTCTTCAAATGATTGTATCTTAAACGCATCATAAAGATGACACTCTACTACATCTAAAATTTAACCTTTTTTTTGTTTTCAAACTATAATTCTTTATATATGTATATATTTTTATCTATTTCCTTTTTTTTTCTGACCCTTTAAATGAAATCAAAGTGTAAAGTTGGGCAATGTCAGTTAAACTAATTACGTGCATGTTTTGGTGGAAATACTGGGAGTAGGTTTTGATAAATTTGTAGTGTGGTCCTCCGTATCTTGGCAAGTCAACGATGGAGAGCTGGCCACGATGCACCACTTTCCATTTTATCTCCCCTTTTATTCAGCAATTATGTTGTTTTCTCATTTTTTTATTATTATTCATTATCCACAAATTGTACATAAATAATAATAATAATAATAATAATTAAGCAACCACTTTAATATTTTATTTTGTTTTACTTAGAAGCCTATGGGTGAAAGATTTATATATATATATATATATGTATTTATGTGTAATACATCATTCCCATCAAATTTTGAAAAAGAAATAATGTATAACCAAATGTCAATAGCTTGTGGGTAACATATTCTATAATTGTTTCTTCAAGCTAAGGAACTGCAATAGGTTAATAAGAACCCACTAAAGTATGAAACACATGCACAAAAATTAAAATTAATGCCGCCATGTGAATTAGAGCTGCTCTGTTTTTATATCTTAAGTCATTTTCAAACTAGAGTCGTGTTGTTTCCAAACACTTAACCCTTCTCTAAACAAAATTAGTTTTAATCAGTGACACTTGAACCATACTAATAGTATCAGCCCTTTATTGTGGAAGACGAACAAACAACTTAATACAAGCTGGATGGTGGTGGTTGAAGTCGTTAGATACTATGCTCTGTTTTTTAGTCTGTAAACAGACAAAGCCTCAGACACCAGAAAAAGAGAACCAAAAGAAAAATCAAAGCCAGCGTTCTTAACAAGTCCAAAACGCTTGCCTTTCAACACCTTGAATTTGGAAAACGAAGGAAAGACACGTCAACACTCAACTCCTCTTAACTCAGTAGGCAATGTTGCTTGCTTCTCCTTCTTTTGTTTTCTATGCAGGGTCTCCTCTCCTTTCCTTTTCAGCCATAACATTTTAAGAAACTTTGCTTCTTTGTCCTGGAAACCCAATATATATCATTGCTTCGTAGTTAATAATTCAAGGTTTTTACATCTTCTTCTTAACTGGTGGGTGCTTCCTTGAAAACCCAAAAAAGATTGTATTGTTCTTTGCTGTTTATTTGCTGTTTGAATCTAATACTGTGGTTCGGATTTTGTTGGCTTAGTTGTTTATACCAAAATTGATTCACGTAATAAAGTTTTTTTTTTTTTGGTTGACGGTTCAACTATTTTCGCCATCTGCAAGTTTTCATTCATTGATAATCTTCGTTACCTTATTTTTGATTTCTAATTCAAGTATATCTTGGTGTTTTGTTGGATCAATTATTTCTATATTGATTAATATTAAGAAGTTTCAGGTCGCTTTATTCTTATCTGTCATTAGGCTTTGTATTTGGCTGTAAAAGCTCCTTTTTTTAATTAAAAAAAAAAGGGTTCTTCATACAGTACAGCGGGAATTGATTGTGTGCCTACTAAGTTATTTGTTGTGTTTAGCTTAAAAGCCGTACTTGGTCAATTATTTAATAGTGCTTCAGTTGATTATCCTTCTTGCTAGTTTCCTATTTCTCATTTTTTGAATTACTATCAAATCTATAGGTGTCTGCTGCTTACATGGCAGCAATACTGGCTTCACACGGTTGTTATTTGCGCAATTGTGAGTTGATGAATCAAGGAAGAACAATGGAAACTCTCAGTTTTTCAAGCTCAATTTCGAATCAGTTTGTGAAGTTTGAGAGGCAAATACATAATCTGCCTATGACAGATAAATCATTCAGGTTTCGAGTGGATATGCAACAAACTGAGTCAGCCCCAAAGGTAGGAATCAATGGGCGACCTGTGAAAATGGTGCCTGCGAGTGAGGTAGTGAAAAGAAAAGCTCCAGCCACTAGAAAAGTGGAGAAGGTGAATGGTGTAAAGCAGGTTATAAATGGTGCTAGCATAGTTAGGAGAGATAATAGTCCATCTCTGGTTAAGAAGCGTAAACCTAGAGCGTCTGCAGAACTTCCACCATTAGAGGAGTTAAATGTTCTGCCTTCAGATGAAAGTTTCAGTTGGGCCAATGAGAATTATAGTACCTTGCAAAGGACTATAGATGTTTGGTCTTTTGTTCTTTCTTTACGAGTCCGTGTTTTGTTGGACAATGCAAAATGGGCATTTGTGAGAGGCTTCACAGAAGATAAGCAGGTGAGTGCTGTTGTCTGTTGAAGCATACCCCTCTGATTATAGCTTGTGGAGTAGAATCTTTATTTTTGGTTCTTTTTCTTTAAAACCTTGAAACAACTGAAACAGTTCCATTCACTTAAATATTTAGAAACAAAATAATCAGATCAAAATTGAACAGGGATGATAAATTACTACAAAGCCTTCAGGAATACAACTTTCTACCTTCACCTTAGACCAGTCTAGCGGCTTAGCTTTCCATCCCCACCTCCCAATTTGGGGCCCTTTAGGGCAGCACCCTTGGGAACGATACCTTTGTCCTGTGTCTTCTGTGTTTTGGCCATCAGTTCTGCTGTCTTTGCCTTCTTCTCGTTCTTAATTGGCTAATATCCATAATCTCCATCTTTTTCTGTTATATATATTTTGTTGCTTTTGGTTCTCATCGATTTTGTTTATTTCCTGCAGAAAAAGAGGAGGAGAAAGACTGCCTCATGGCTTCGAGAGCGTGTATTGCAACTTGGTCCTACTTTTATTAAGCTTGGACAATTATCTTCTACCAGGTCAGATCTATTTCCACGTGAGTTTGTGGATGAGCTTGCCAAATTGCAGGTACTCTTGCTTTCTTTTTCTTTATTAATTTGGAAAAGCTTTCTGTCATTGCATTATACTTCCAAATGCTGACATTCAATCATATACATATATGTGTCTCTTTATAAGACAACTGTAGTTCCAAGTTCTAATTTTTATCTTGTAAATTTTATGTTTGTCATGTATCATTATCCAGGATAGAGTCCCTGCATTCTCACCAAAGAAAGCAAGAAGCTTCATTGAGAGTGAACTAGGAGCTCCCATCAATGTACTATTTAAGGAATTTGAGGACCAGCCCATTGCTGCAGCTAGCCTTGGTCAGGTGTTTATTACAATCTTATTTTTTAATAATTTTTATGTTCAAGCCTTAAATTTCTTTGATTCTGCACAGATCCTAGTTGTTCCATAGATCAGTTTATAGTTCTATTGCTTCTTCTTGGTGAATAGTGAAGTTATATCTGTGAAGAGATAATCTGATTTAGTCTTGGTAATACAGTAATCAATGTTAGCCAGAGATACCCTCTCTATGATCTGAAGTTGAAGCATTCTTTGTATAGGTACATCGCGCTATTCTGCATAATGGGGAGAAAGTTGTTGTCAAGGTTCAAAGGCCTGGCCTTAGGAAGCTTTTTGACATTGATTTACGTAAGTAATATACATTTTTTCTGTCACTTTACCATAATAAAGGTCTGCTTACTTACAAATTCTAAAACAATGATGTTTTTCCCTTTTCTTTTCCCGTCCTTTTGGGTAATTACAAGTACTTTCATTTTGTTTTTCTTAAGATGTTTGCAGAAACATGTTCATCTCTGGAAACTGCACATTCAGGAATATTAGCAAGCAATCACTGGTGCAGTTGCTTTGACAGTTTCACATCCATCTGTTCTTTTGTCTTCTATTTTATCTGAGAAACATATAGATAGTGGGAAACTAGAGCCTGGTAGTAGTAGGAAGGGCAATCTAATGTGTATTATGCTATGTATTTGTACAATGAACAAGCTTCCTTTTCCTTCACAGATTTAGGCTTTATGCATGCAGTCAGCTGGATATTGTTTGTCCAACTGATTGCATTGTATTTTCTACAGAAATAATGGTTCTGGCTAAATTGGGTGCTTCAAAAATTAGCAGCATGGGTCTTTGTGTATATTACTGGTACTCAGTAGCTTCTTTAATTTCTGCTCCTTCTGCAGGAAATCTAAAGCTAATTGCAGAGTATTTTCAGAATAGTGAAACTTTTGGTGGTCCGACAAGAGATTGGATGGGTGTATATGAAGAATGCTCCATGTAAGTATTATGCACTAGTTAGTATGAATTTTATTATGTTAACTTTAGGTAAAGTAAGAAGAACATATGGGAACCTGACAAATTACCTTCTTTTTGGGATCTCAGGATTTTGTATCAAGAAATTGATTACATAAATGAAGGGAAAAATGCTGATAGGTTTCGCCGAGATTTTCGAAATATAAAGTGGGTCCGAGTACCTGTATGTTTCTTGCTATCGGGCTCCTAGATAATAATGCTTATTCTCCTTTTTCTTTTATCCTGATCTCATTGTTTAAGTCTTTTTCTTGTTCATGCAAGTAGTGTGCAGTTATACTTACTTTGAGGGCTTTCTCCCTTTGCAGATGGTGTTTTGGGATTACACGGCTACAAAGGTGTTGACCTTGGAGTATTTACCAGGTTTCCATCTAATTTAATGCATTCGATTTCTTTCAGAAGCTATTATTATGCAGCTGAAAATTTTAAAAGATTGTTGCAATGAGTTCGTTCTGGTTATAATTGATATGGCATTGTTACTTCCATAACAGGCATTAAAATCGACAAATTAGCTGCATTAGATTCTCAGGGATATAATCGTTCTCGAATTTCATCACGTGCCATTGAAGCATACTTGATTCAGGCAAGTAAAGTTGACCTATCTCAAATGACTGTCTTGACTATTATTCCAGACTACTAAGTATAATGACAACCAACAAACTATTCGCTGGATTTTCATGTGAATTACAGATACTGAAAACTGGCTTCTTTCATGCTGATCCGCATCCTGGAAATCTGGCTATTGATGTGGATGAAGCAATCATCTATTATGATTTTGGCATGATGGGGGACATCAAATCTTTTACTCGTGAGAGATTGCTGGAACTTTTCTATGCAGTATATGAGAAAGATGCAAAAAAGGTCTGCTTTCTATCTCATGTGACATTTTTCCTTTTCTAGTCCAAGTTTTCCCTGAAATTTATTGAATATTATAGCACAAACAGTAAGAAGTAATGAAAAGAATCTTTGCATACTTAACAAACTTTTTCCCACTTGTATCGTATAGCAGACAAAATTTTAAGATCTTCATTCTAAGATCAAACTAGCATAAGCAGTGGACTCAATCGTGCAAATAAATTGCAGCCATGTAATAATCTTCAGATTTAATTGCCAGGATTTTAAATTGCAAATCCTGGCCCATGGTACAAAGACATTGAAACATTCATTCCAAGGTAGCAAAAAGATAAAGTTGAAATGATACAGACTATATTCTTTGCTCATTTCTTTTATTGCAATTGTATGCAATGAAACAACAGTGCCATCATCCATTATTGGAGATATGCAACTTATAGAATAAAAAATATTAGGTATTTCCCTCATCTTGTGATCAATCCCTCCCAAACTCATGGTTTATATATGTCTGAATGACATCACTGCTTTTATTTGTGTTGTTACTAAATTTTAAGCCTTGCTAAGTTCCTACCGAAATTCTCTAACTTAAGGTAGTGCATCTGAAGATGCTGTATCCGGAAGAGCCATCTCTTCTTTGTCTCCAAAACTGACTGGAAACAACCCTGCAGGTTATGCGGAGCCTCATAGATCTTGGAGCACTTCAACCCACAGGAGATTTGTCCTCGGTAGGTCATCACCCCCTACATACAAAAAAGTTGCAAGGAAAATATAGGGATTAATAAAAATCCTATTTGACCCTTCTCTATGATTATATTTTGTTATGTGGTATGCTAGGTGAGGAGATCTGTGCAATTCTTCTTGGATAATTTATTGGACCAGAGGCCAGATCAGGAGACTACTTTGTCTGCAATTGGAGAGGTGTGCAAAAGTGGACATTCTCATTTAGCATCTAAGCTAGAGAAGTGATATGTCAATTAAGTAGATTAAGAGAAACAAAAGAAAAGAATAGTCAATGATAGCTTGCTTGCTAACAGATTTCTCATGAATCCATGTCATTGTCTTCCCAGTTAGACCAAAAAATTTGTCAATTTCAAGGGGACCATTTTGAATTTTGATTGATTTGATAACCAGTAACCAGTTCTCTGAATTTTGGAAAAACTAAAGCTTGGAGCATGAAAGTCAATTTAAATGCCAGAATTGAAGTGGATGCATTTGTAATATTTAATCCTTCAGAACTGTTTGTATTTGTCAAAGGAGTAAAGCTTGATATAAACCCTTGTTTTCTTCTATCAAATAACCCTTCCATGACATATTAGTGGTAAAATGAGGTTCTTCTTTGAATATGCTTTTATGCAGGATTTGTTTGCAATAGCTCAGGATCAACCATTTCGGTTCCCATCCACATTCACCTTTGTTTTGAAGGCATTTTCCACACTCGAAGGTGCATCTCATTCACCATAATGATGTTTGAACTCAGTCACTAGGCAAATTAAACTTCATTTTAGATTAAGAAAGCAGAAACCTTATACTGCTTGAAGACGTTAAAAGAAGAATGTTATTTCATCACTGGCCTGTCCTCAAGATCATGGTTCCCTTCCAGGTATTGGCTACACACTTGATCCAAATTTCTCCTTTGCAAAGATTGCTGCACCTTATGCTCAGGTTCTTTACATTCTCCTGCATTAACTTAGTTTTCTCTCAATGAAGTTTGTGATCCACTGGCGAATTCATTTCAGTAAAAAGTTATGCTCTAATACTTCGATGCAACCTACAGGAGCTATTAGATATTAGACAAAGGCAGCCAACTGGTACACAGCTAGTGCAGCAGATAAGGAAACAAGCTGATGATGTAGTGCACCTTTTACCATGTTTCTCCAATTCCTTCAGTTGCTTAAGTTGCTATTAGTGAGAAAGTTGGCTTGCTTTGAAGTAATTATAAATATTTATTTTATTCATCATTTTATATATTGGAACCTGTGTATATTTCAGGCCAGGTCCTACACCATGTCTATGCCATTCAGAGTTCAGCAAATAGAAGAATTCGTAAAACAGCTTGAATCAGGAGATTTGAAACTCCGAGTCCGGGTGCTAGAGGTAATGCACTCTGTATTTTGAAAATTACATTCCCTTTGTGCTTGGAATAGAGAAAACTAGAGTGTACTCTGTATATGCTGTGCGATTCTCATTCTTTTCACTTACGTTAATGTTTAATGCAAAACTGCATACCAGTCTGAGAGAGCAGCACGGAAGGCCAGAATACTGCAAATGGCAACCATGTACACAGTACTAGGAGGTACCCTGCTAAACCTAGGCGTCACCTTCGGCAGTCAAGGCAGCCAAATTATTGCTAGCGGATCATTCCTCGGAGCAGGTGACGTGTTCCATTCTGAGCAGGATATTGGTTCTTTAGCAGTAGAAGTATAAGTTGATATCAGCCCCATGGCTGACAAAAGTTGTTTTAATTGATTTGTCCAAATACAGGAGCTTTCTTCACACTGCTCCTTAGGTCAATGCAAAGGTTGAAGACGCTTGATAAATTCGAGAAGATGATATGATGTTAACCTCACAAAGGCAAATGATTTCTTTCATTTATATGCTCCTTCCTTTTTCACTTTTCAGTCAGTTAATTGCCTTATTTTGCACCGAATTATATGTGATTTTTTTCCCTCAAATATTTGAGGGTGAAACCAATTGACTATCACATACAAAAAAACCAATGATATATAGGGAAATGCCTCCCTGCTGGGAAATTTATAGTTGTACAATAGGACTTATTTAGAATGGTCAAAAGGGGAATTTCAATTTAATAACAAACATGATAGTTTCTTTCTCTTTTAGTTTTTCCTGTTCAAGCATGCAATTGCAACCATGGCAAGTTTCCATTGGATAGAGCTAATAGTACTTTTTATCTCTATGCTCTCTAGCCGTTACAGAGTCAGCACATAGCATCAAACGTGAGCAAAGAGCATATAATAATACATGCTTAACTCTCTAACAAAAATCTACTTTTGGATGTTGCAAGGGCGAATAGTTTTACTTCAGATGTTGCCTGCTGGTCCACATAGTGTTTCACTTTAGATGTTGCTAGTGCAAATGGGTTTTTCCTTTTTATTAGCATATGTACCATAATTTTCTTTCCAAAGAAACATACCAAGTCATTGGGTTTGCTTACATTTGAACACTTGCCATGGAAACTAGTTTTTCTTCGAAAGCTTAGGTTTTGTCCTCTTTCCTGCTCTAGTATCCAGCGTGAGAATAAGTCAATACACAATAAAATGGATCGCATGTGCTGATTGCCCATTCTGTTTGCCAGCAGCCCCTTCAAAGCTGTACAAAGCTGCCTCCTTAAAAAGAAGCCCCCACCTAGGTGTCCCTTCTGTTTGCCAACATGTTTAAAGCTGCATAGTGATCACAAGCTAGCAGGATACGGAAGATGGCTATTGTGGAATCATCACCTAGCTGCTGCTTATTGCCGCAGTTCCTTGACATTGATTTTGATTTAAATGTGGAGAGTATGTTTTTCCCTACCACCATAAAAGAAACTGAACATAGGAAAAGCTAGCGTAAAAGAAAAGTAACCATTCAGTTTCTGCAGAATTCATAGGCAAACATTTTCAGGATCAAAACATAGAATCTGAATCTCAAAGCGCCTACGAATGAAGGCAATCTATGTTGTGCCAACTCTTCATTTTCCGTGAAGTATCCTTGTCAGACACATATCGGATGGACTAGACATGGAGTTCCGAGCCTCCAAATATATGGAAAACTTAGAAATGGACATACCCATGTCAGACATATATGTACCTGACACTCAGCCCCAAGTCCAAGTAACATAGAAAGCAATCACAAGCTGAAGATAAACATGGCCTAGAGGAGGGGGTGTTTGAGGACAAATTCATGCCAAACTGGAAAATAACCTCCCTAGCTACAGAGCATTAATAATTAGGGGTCAGCTAAGAACTTATTGGAGTTGACAATATGTACTCCATAATAACCATTACATGTAAAACAGTCAACAGGAGCTACAAGGCAATGATTTAATAAAGTGATCAATTGTCTCTTCAACAGTAGCAACTACTCGTCTGCTAAGCACTAAAATCTAGAAATCAATCTTCCGTTACTTTTTCATAAATGAATATTTGCTGGATGGTTCACTTAACTTACACTGAATGACCTGTTAAAATTTATTCCACAGAACCTACCTATTATGTCAACCATGAAGAAGAAAAGCAAAGAAGCTTCATGATATTGCAATCTGACATGCTGAGTGTTTCTCTTCTCTATTTCTTTCCCTTCAGTGCTAATAATTGAAAACTGAAAAGACCAGCCCATCTTAACCGCTTATCACAGCCCATTACAACTCTCACTTTTTCAGTTATAAAACAGACTGTTTTTCCAGGATGCATACTACAGCAGCCATAATCATCCTCAATAAACACTAATAATAAAAGGGTGTAATTAATATGGTCCAACACTCTTAAACACCAAAAAAAAAAAAAATCCACGTATAAATCACAGATATGATATCATAAGGTTTTGAAGTTCTTTTTTCTAATTTATCCCTAACAATGAAATGAGCATGTACGATGTGTTTTCTTTTCCCATATAGATCTTCTGTACCAGAAGAGAATGAACTTTAAGAAATTAGTAATTTATTCAAGAGACTAAATCCTAACAAGCCCTTTCTGGCTTACCCACATAGATGGGGAAACAATAACTTGTACTATCATCTGTGAGAGATAAAGATGAAAAATGCAATTAATTGCACTGTGAATAAATCATCACCTGGACCACCTGTAGAAAGCGTAACAGTTGAGCTCAGGTATGGCTTTTCCCACAACTAGAAAAGGCACATAACAGTGTACCTCTTTTTCTTTTTCTTGTGCACCTTGCATACAAGAAAACCTTAAAAAGGAGAAATGAAGATATCAGTTACTAGAAAATATGTTTATGCAACAAATGTCATCTAAGGAGACTTTCTCAAAATAGAGTTCATGAAACATAAGGGAAACATAAGTTTCATTACCTTTCACAAGTCCAAACTTGCCACCAGGCAGTAGAATCAAGCATATTAAGGAGCCACTCAGTGGAAACAGAACAGCGAGCCCAATAGAGGTTTACTTTTAATGGCACTGCTTGTCAAAAGAATACAAGTAACAGATATGGAGAAGCCACATTATCAATTGCTAAATTGGAGTTGGCTTGAATCCGCAACACTCTCAACTTACCGCCTCATAAGATTGTTGTTGTCTTTGAGCATTGTGTGAATAGCATTTCCAATCAAGTAGACCTGCTAAAGACATGGAGTTTGAAACCCATCCAAACCGCACCATGTGCTCTAATGCTTGTGCAGCTTTGCCCATTTCACCTGCTCTGTTAAAATCGGAAGCTATAAAACTACATGTGGCTGTACTGAGGCTGAGTCCAGACTCTCCTACTTCATTAAGTAAAATCAATGCTTCAGAAAAGTCTTTTGTTTTACAAAGGGCTTCTATTAGAGCAACATAGGCAGTCTCACTCATCGGCATACCATTGTCCAGCATTATATTCCTCAACTTCAAGGCCTCTATTAAGTTCCCTTCTTTGCAGTAAGCATCAATCATTACATAATAAGTTTCCTTATCATGTTTAATTCCCTTGGCCACCATCTCTTGAAACAGAGAAAAAGCCTCAGTTTTATTCCCAGCTTTATTGTAGCCATTTAAAATTAAAGTGAAAGTTGAAGACGGTGGGATTAGATTTCTTTCCTGCATCTCTAGGAAGAGTTGTCTTGCTTTCTCCATATTTTTTACTCTGCATAGCTCATTAATCAATGAATTATATGTAACAACATTCAGATCAATGCCTTTGGCACACATTGCCTCATAAAGTTGAAGAGCTTTTCCTACCTTACCTTGTTTGCATAAACTGGTAAGGAGAGAGTTGCAAGCATGAGCATCAGGAAACAAACCCTTCTCATAAAGTTCTTGGTAGATCTCCAGTGCTTCTTGTTGTTTTCCATTCCGGGTGAAGCAACTTACGAGCATACTGTAAATTAAAATATCTGGTTGAATCCCTTGTAAAAGCCAATACCTAGAAGCAGATAATGCTTCAGTAATGTTTCCCTTCTTGCAGTGTCCATCAATCAGTGCTTTGTAAGTTTGATCATTGGGCACCAGACCACAACCAAGCATTTCATTGAAACACTTAACAGCTAGCTGCATCTGCCCCATCCGACCATACCCAGAGATGAAAGCTCCATATGTGTACGCATCTGGTTTTAATCCCCTCCCAAACATTTCATCCAGGTATGTCCTTGCTTCTACCATCCTTCTGGCTTTGCAGAGGCCTATTATAATTGGGTTATAACACAATATATCAAGTGGAACCCCTTGGTCCTTCATTATCTCCAAAATCCCTCTTGCTTCTTTGACTCTATCTTCCTTTGTGTAAGCCAAAATAAGATTTCTGCAAGCAAAGGCATTTAGCTTCACAGTCTCCTTAAAAATTTTGCCCAAAACAGCATTCACTTTTTTAATATTTCCATAACGACACAACTCATTAATTAAGACAGCATGAGTCTTTGCTGTTGGTACCGAGTTTCTACTCTTCATCTCATCAAGCAACTTAAAAGCACTATGTAAGTCACCCTCTCGACAATAACCCTTAATCAACAAATCATAACTTCTCAAATTAGGGTTGATACCCAATCTTTCCATCTCATTCATGATTTCCCTTGCCTTCTTTATATTACCGGACTTACAAACACCACTAAGAAGAACATTATATGTGGTGAGGTCTAACTGAATTCCACTAGCAAACATCTTATCCTTGATTCTAAAAGCCTCTACTACATGATCCTGTTTAAGAAATCCATCAATTAGAGCATTGAAACCAGCAGCTTCAGGCTTCAAACCTTTAGCAATCATCTCCTCTAAAACCGATTCAGCATTTCTCAATCTCATGTCCGTACATAATCCATTAATAAGCATCATATAAGTATAAACAACAGGCACCATCCCCTTCTCAATCATAGCTCTCTTTATCTCAATAGCATCATCAACATGCCCCACTCTACACAAGCCACGAACAACCACATTAAAACTCACCAAACTAGGACTACAACCTTTCTCCTCCATATCCCAGAAAACCCTCTTCGCTTCCTCAACATTCTTAACCATAAAATGCGCGTTCATCACATTAACATAACTATACTCATCGAAACCAATCTTCATCTCATTCATCCTATTGTAAACCTTCCAAAACAACTCCACCTTATTTCTTTTCAACAAATCCTTCAAGAAACCATTACAACACCACAAACTAGGCACAAAATTTTCACCTTTTCCAAAACTACTCGATAAAAACACATCAGAAGCTTCAACAAGGAACCCCATTTTCCTAAGACTAGTAATCAACAGATCAAAAATTGAAGTTTTAACGTCACCCTTCACATCAAATTCTCTACAATAACTACTGAGATAACCCAAAATATCAAAAGGGAGCTTAAAATTCTTTACCATAAGCTCAAAAACATAGCTTGCAGGGCCAAACATTTTAGACTTACAAAGGATAATAGCAAGAAGAGAATAAACATCTAAGTCCTGTTGATGAGTAGTACCCACTCGGCGTTGAGACCAGATGAAGAATCCAAGGAGTCGGGTCGGATCAGAGGTGGTTCGATTTTGGTGGATAACGGATCGGATTATATCTGGGTTTAGCTTCGTTGCTATGTCAGGGGAGTCCATTAGGAGCTGCCAGTTGTTGCGGCTGAGAATGCTGGTGATTTGGGTCACTGTGTCTTGATGGATCATGGGTTCAGATTGGGCGGCAGTGGAGACATTTCTGGTCCACAGCACGTGCGGGGCTGCACGTGCGAGCCTCTTCATATTTGAGGCTATCTGAAGTATGGAGAGGGAAGAAAGGGAAGGTTTGTATCAGAATTCAAACGGAGACGAAGAGAAGCTGAAGAGAGGGTTTTGGTTAAACTTTGACGTGAAATTGTGCATTCCCCTATGAAAAGTTTTATCATTCATGCTTGGACTAAAATGCCGTCACCTTACCGTGGTGTTCAGTAATTTATAACATAATGTGATTAAGATAAATGTGATTGTAAAAAAAATAATATTACAGTATTTGATATATAAGTAAAATAATTATTAAAAATAAAAAAAATAATATTGTAATGTTTGATTTAAAAATATTTTATTAAAAATATAATATTAATTTTTAAAATTATTTTTATTTATTAAAATATAAATTTAATATATTTATATTTTTTATTATTAATTTTTATATAATATCATCTCTTAAATATATTTTTAATGTTATATATTATATTTTTATTTTTTATTATGATCTTATATATTTTATTTTTATTTTTATATTAATTTTTATATTATATATTATATTTTAATTTTTTTTTACTTATATTATATAAATTTTAATTTTTTATTTTTATATTATATATTTTATTTTAATATTTTTTATTTTAATCATAATATTATAAAATATTTTTAATAAAATAATGAAGTTGAAAGGTAAAAATATTTTTAAGAATATTACAGAGTGCAATGTAATGTGATTACATTGATTTTAAACTGTAATCATATTACATCCTTTGATTGTAATGTGATTGCATTACAATCTTACATTACAATGGTCTGTTGCAAAACAAACACTGTAATATAATTTAATCGAGCACATTGTAAGGAATGTCCTCCCACTTCTCTTATACCAAAGGCTAATTTAATTTTTGCAATGAACACTTCATTTTAAAAATGTAAACATCATTACCAAAAATAATAAAATAATTAAAAATGAGTATGCTTTCATTAAAATGGTTTACAAGTCAAGCCATTTTGTCATAGATCCCATATTAATAAGAAATAAACTGACTCTTGGATTTATTAAATAAGGTCTTCCTCTGTCTATTAAATATGTTTTTTGAATTAAAAATGTAGACCAATTACAAGTGGTAACAAAACACATCCAAATCTTCGTTGATGTGGAACTAAATTATGAATGACAATGGATACCCAACTTGATTATATAAGATTAGGATATCCTATATTCGAGTTTGGGATGAATTTGATAGTAATTGTACTACTCGTATCAGGTTCAGGTAGCACCTTTGGTACCTATATAATACTTAATTAAATATGTAAAATTTTGTTGATGTTGAGAATCGAACTTTTCATTTATAATGTATTATTGTTGGTCAAATTATTAATGATATGTCAATAATATATTTAAATAATAATACTATTAAATTATTAGTTATATTTTAATAATATTTATAAGGAATATAATTATTATTATATACTTATTGCAAAGTGTTAAGATTAAATATAGCAATCAATTATATTTGTATTAAGTATAATAGGTATTTACATTTACAAATTTAGAACATAAATTATATGATTATGTGTTAAAGATATGGAATATTTAATTATAGGTTATATATTTTAAATTATATAAGTTATATGTTAATATTAATATATAATTATAAATATCTTATATCTTATATATTAATATTAATATAATAATTACACCTATAGTATATAGTATTGTTTTACCTATGTAAACCTATATCCTACATATAAATAGGTTACATTAATAGGTTATAAATATTAATATAGTTAATTATATATAAACATTATTATCTACTATAGACTTATTAACATATTAAATAGATTATATTTAATAATAATTACTATGCCTATATCCTACATATGTTTTATGAATAGATTATAATATTTATATATTTAATTTATATATAAACATTGCTATATACTTCTCGTGATAAAATAATTTGTTAGCCATCATTACTATATAAATAAAACTTGTAATATATAAAAATCATAACTTATAAATTTATTAGTGTTACATTTATATTTACATCAATAGAACATATTAAAGTGTTACCATTAAATGATAATAACTATTAACAACCTTTTATTTATATGTACAAATAAGAACATAATAGAAATAATAACTATAACTTATAAGTTGTTATTAATTTTAGGTATTTAAGTTGTTGTTTGAGATATTAGTTTTTGGTTATTTAAATTTAAATTTTATTATTTGTTTGCTTTTATAAATTTAATTATTAGTGAATTGTATGGATATAAAATATAATTTATTATTATATATGAGTTTGGGTAATGGGTATCCATAAAGAATATAATAATTTTATTTACATAATCGAGTTTTAAACAGATTCAGGTAATTACTAGCTAATGAAATGGTAATAGGGTTAGAATTTAGATAACAAATTCTAAAAATATTCGAGTAGTTGTAGGGTTTAAGTACTCTATTTATTAATCAAGATCAGATTCGAGTAATTCAAAATTAGCAAGAACCATTCCCGTTGGCATCCCTAAACAAGATATCATAATCGAGGTAGACTCGGACCAGTGTAAGAGTAGAGGTAGACTCGAACTAGGGCAAAGATCACTCTTCTTTATGGGTAAACAACCATTCTCCTCTATGGGCTAACAAGTAGTGCAACAAAGGCATTTTACAATTGGTTGTAATAAAAAATCACATATCCCATATTGGTAAGAGATGCACATCTTTTAGGTTTATAAATAATAGTGTTATTTTACTTATTAAGTATATTTTTTGAGTTACAAACATGAACTCATGATATATTTACTTAAGCCTCTTAAGAACCAACTTTACTCGGATTGGTTTATTATAGACTTTTAAGGTTCTAGAGGTTGTATCTTTCAAAACAAAAAAAAGGTTCTATATGTCTAAAGGTATTATTTTATTAATAAATAATATATTTTATATTTAAAATTAATATTCTTTTAATATTTTAATAATATTAAAATGGATAGACCTAGTCGAACTTGAATATATCTTTATAACTTCAAAAGGTATAAGCTTGAGTGACAAGGGTATACAAACTATTTATTCGATTAATTCAAGTAAAAAATTATTTTAATTGAATTAACCAAATATACTATGAAAATCTATCAAACTGTTTGAATAGAAGATGTAATCAATTAACGAATCAAATCAATTAATTTAATTAATAATCAAAATATTTTATACTATTATTATATATGTTACAATAATATATATAATGTGTTATTATCATATAAACATATGTGTTATAATATGTTTATATAATTATATATGTTATAAGTATATTATAAATAACTTATATACAAATCAATTAATATGATTAAAAAAATTTTAAAATCAAAATTGATCAAATTAATTGATTTAATTGTATTTGTTTTCGAATTAACTGAATTATTTTAACTGAAAATTTCTTACTTTTACTTAGTGCTTGTTTGACTTGGTTTTTTTTAACTTATCTATCTCTTAAAAGCAAAAGTCAAGCCAAACATAATTTTTTGAGATTTTTTTTTAAAAAGTTTTTTTTAAAGAATAAATTTTAAAAAAAAACTTAAAAAAAAGCTCCAAAGAGGCGCTTTCTCTTCTCTTCTTTTAAAAACATATTAATTTTTCAAAAGATATCCCTCTTTCAATCAATCTCCCTTTCCTTTCCTTCCCTTTACAAATTACCATTCTTCAACATAAATCTTAATTTTCCTCTCCTTTACCTCTCTCTACAAAAACTATTAAAAAAATAGAAGACCCAATAATAGAATATCAAAATATAAATTTTTTTTTGTTTTTACAAAGATTAAGAGAAAAAAAATTTAAAATTCAAAACTACATTCAGAAAAAAGAGAAGACTCAACAACAAAATATCCAAACCTAAAATTTTTTTGTTTTTACAAAGATTAAGAAAAAAAATCTAAAATTCAAATTGCATTCAGATACTATTTTAACGCTTTCTCTCTTTTTCACTAAAAAGGATTTTAATGTTAAATACATCGTTTTTTTTTTTCAGAATTGAAACATCATAGTCTGATTGCTTGCTAGATCAATAAAAATCTAATACTATTACTACCATACATATTTGAGAATTGTGTCATTTTTTTATTGATTTTTTGATTTTAACATATGAAATTAGACATAAACTTGAAGCATTACATTATGACCTGTGATTGAAGATGACATAAATATCTTTTATGATAATTTTAATCGAAATTAGAACTTATATAATTTATTTTGTTAAACAGTTTATCAAACAGTTTTAGTTTAATTTTGAAAATTATTATTTTTTATAAGAATTTGATAATAACTTTTAAATTAAAAATAAGGTAGACCAAACAAGTTACTAATACCTCTAATTTTCATTTAAGAAAAATATTTTCTTATAATGTTTTGGTAGCTAACTTTTTTGTTGTCACTGCTTCACACTGCTACAAACTACAGTAAAGAAAGCAAGCAATACAGCTGAATGCTGTGCTGGCTAATATGCTATGAGTACAAGTGTAACAACGATAGACATATATGGTCAACAAAGAAACAAAATCAAACCTAAAAGAACAAAGAAAGAAGTGACTTGAGTGCTTGGCTGGCGTACTTAGACCGTCAGTGGCCACCCTGGCTGCGTTCTATGGGGCGCAGCGTCACCCAGATTGCCATGTTCCGTAGTCGGAATGATAATTCACCCCACAAAAATGGTTGGTGTGGCGATGGCATTAGACCAATTAGTTTAAGAATTTTCTTTCTAATCATTTGATCATTGTATCCATGCAAATGCCATGAGTCAGAGTAGAGGAAATTTAAAAGAAACGAAGAAGAAAGAAAGGTTGGTAGTATAGGGTTGATGCACTTCCTATCTAATCTTAAGCTATGGGAATAAACGAGTTTGTGGTCAGTCATTGTCTTTCAAATGAAGACTACTTGTTTCCCCCGCAGTTATAATTCTCAAATGTACAGTCTAAATCAATGACCATTTAGTTTAGGTACCTCACAACTATATATAGGTTTGTCAAAGTATTTACACTTAGTCCTCAATGACTGTGGAGTTTGAGATTTGAGAAATTTATATATATACCAAATTCAAAGTCAATTTTCCCACTTCCCAATTGGATGGCTAAGTCTAGTTTAGTTTAGTTTAGTTACTTTGTTAATTGGTCAGATCATTGAAGCTGTGTCCTTTAATGGAACTCTTCCAATTCCAAAACCAATGTTGTGCTATATAATTCTTGACTTAAAAAAGTGATATAATGGGCTGCCTTCGACAAAGAAAAGAATACCCAAGAGTTCACATAAGATGACGACCCCTTCAAACAAGCATCCTTGTGCTTAGGGTAAACTTGGACAAGCAAAGACTTCTTTACTGTCTCAACATTGAATGGTTGTTGGTTGAGTACAATAACTTGCTACTTGCTAATTGTAATCTAATTAATCTTTCATTCGTATTAGTTTTATCATTACATGTTGGACCGGATGAAGATACCAGACTTGGTTAGAGCAGACAAAAAAAAAACCAAGTCAACAAAGGCTAACAATAAATATTAATTTCGAACCATTTTTGTACAATGGCAGACTTTGACGAAAGCTTCATACGGAATTGTGGGAAGAATGAAATGAGAAAATTATCCCATTCTCTTTTCCACTATCTAGGAGGGACTAGTCCTCCCAGTTGTTTGAAAAAGGTGCAGGAGATGTAAAAATGAAGAGTTAATTTTCATGGCCATCTTACATTCTCTACCATCTTACGTAAATTTAACTAAAGTAATTAAGTATAGGAACCATTAGGGAAACACAGTCACTATTATCTTCTGACTTGGATAACCCTTTTTTCAGCTTATTCTTTGTATGTAATTCGTTCGACCCATTAGACTCTTTCCACACATCCAACTAAATATATCATGCTTATGAGTTACGAAATCAAACTAGTACCATTCTGCATGCTAGTACCATATTATATATATACTTCACAGTTCTACTAAACAAAGTTCAACTCCTTTATAAACAATAAAGTCTAGCTCACTGAAATTGAAAATGATTGGATGTCTACCTACTCAATGAGTTGGTGTAAATGAGAACCCAATTGACGGTAATTTCTGCTTGGACTCTCCTTGCTCAACTGAGAAAAAAGTCAAGGTTGGCCACAATACTCTTGTTATTTATTTATTTATTTTCCACTTTAATTGGTAGACAATAATATTCACAATGTAAGTTAAAGTGAAAGGCAATTGACCCAACTCCCTTGCCGACTCTAATGCCTATCCGAGTTATTACTTGTTAGGTCTGAATTAGGCCTTTGGTACTATCTAATGAAAGGTAGGGGAAGTATGGTAATTTTTCTTGTTTCTTGTTGTAATCGATGACCATATAGTTTGTGTAAAATAAAAAACACACAAACGAGAAGAAAATAGTAGTAACTGGTAATGATCATATAATTTTTTTATTCAATAATAAAAAAAAAGAATATATACATAATATATTTTAAGGCTAAAACTTCTAGCATCCTCTTAGGCTGGGAAAAATAGATGCCAAATATTGAATCTATTTGTATAAAAAAGGTTGGCTGTCATTAATTTCTCTCCATGTTTGAGTTGATAATGCTGATATGCTGTGTCTTGTCTGTCTAATTGAAGAGTAAACAGGGACGGAAAATAATTAAACGTCGTTAGCATCGCCTGGGATGAAAACATGCCAAAGAATCTCTGGCTTTCCCTGTCTGAGAAAACGTTGGGGTTCCTGGCCCGCAATCACATTCCCCACTGCCAGCAGCCATACTCATCGGGGCGCAGCCCCATTTTGACTATTTTACCTAAATATACATATAGTCCTTTGAGATAATTCAATTTGCAATCTTTTGTTATCTTCCAATTTTGCCCATTGACTTCACCAACCATTACAAAATATTTATTTCCTCATTTTGTTCCTTTGTCTTCTTCGTGTTAGTCAAAATGTGCCCGTGAAAGAATAATCTTTCGCATACTTATAATAATCTTTATAATTATATATTTTGGCACTAATTACAAGTTACAAATTACAATATTACACTAAATATATAGATAGTCCTAACATGCATACGTGTGTATATATATAATTTCATAAATTTCATATTTAAAAGTATTAAATTATTGATAATTTAATAACAATGTAACAATTGTTACCTAACTTTTTCATTAAAAATAAGTTAAAATATATGAGTTGAATCTCTCTTTCACTCACTTTTATTCAACTAATTAAAAGTTTAAAATTATAAAATCTATAAATAATAAATTATAAGTTTTTATGAGTAATTAGTTAAGTTGGTTAATTCGGTCAGAAAATTTAAGTAACTGACTTAACTGATTTTTTTAAATTTTTAATCCAATTGATTGAATTTCCTCTCTTAACCGACTTAACCGTTAATCAACTTTAGAAAAAAATTAATTAAGTCAATTAAATAAAAAAATCTAAAATCTCATTCTATGTATGAAATTGATATCTTTTATCATTATTTTTAAAGAAATGAGGATTCTCTTTCTATTTCATAAATATCTATATTTTCTTATTTTAATATCCTAAAGCTGTTTTTTTTAATAAAAAAACACTTATAACTCATACTTTTAATGTAATCCATTTTCAAATAGATTTTTTTTACTTTTTGATGTTAGAAGTCATTGAAAATAATTTTATAAATAATATATAGAAAACACTAAATCTAAAAGTATAGATATTTTTCTTAAACTTCATGTTAAATTAATTGAGATTCAATTTGAAAAGATGGAGTAATTTATTTAATCATTGAGGTAAATAATTGATAATGAAGTAATCAAAAGTATTATTTTTAACGGTAACAATTTTATTGTGCATTTTACAACATGAATTAAATTCAAGTTCGAATAAATATTAACACAGTTTATTTATTATCTTATCTTTTACTTATTTTATATAAATTTAAAAATAAAAAAAATAAATATTTGAAATAAAATTATTTTTCATACAAATATCTCTATCTCTAATATAAGAATACAAAAACCTAAAATAACTATGAATTTTTTATAATTTGAAAAAGTTCACAACAACATAACGATATAAAAAGTAAAAAAGAAAGGAAATTACGGAGGACATAAGAGTCAATAAAATATTTGTAATAGGTTGATGAGGGAATAAGCATTCATCGTGAGGCACGTGCTCGACCATTGTGCTTCTCCTTCCACTATATATACCTAGTACTTAGTCGAAAAATTTTCAGTTCATCATTTCTCTCAGTTCTCCCTCATTTTGTAATAAAAGAAAGATCTACACAGGTATTTTTCCAATAACACAATTTGTTCTTCACTCTTCTTTTTCAATTTTTCTACTTTCTCCAAAGAATTCTCGGATTTAGTTCCTTCATATAGATATATTTCTCTCTTTAAATCGCGACGTTTTCCCGCACTTTCTTCCCCGTTTTTCCCTCTCATTTTCTTGCTCCATGTTAAACGTTTCATTCCTTTGATTCTGCTGTTTTTTATCCCCGTAACCGTGATTTTCGATCTTATTTATTTCTGATTCAATTTCTTGCTCACATCAGATCTATCTTTATCTTGCAATTTTCTTGTTTATACAGCTTTTTTTTTTCTTTTTTTCTATATTATTTCCATTTTTTTCCTTCTGTTTTGAAGCTTTTTCCACCTAATTATTACAGTGGAATTTTTTCCATATATTATCTGAAAGTCAACGTATCTAAGAAACAGAATATTTATGTATTTCCATATGTATTTTGTTAATTAAAGAGTATGTATCATGGTAAGAAATACTCTCTTTTCTTTCTTTTTTTTTGCGATTAAGGAATAATATTTTGATTAGCCATATTTTACTCAAATTTGTTTTGGGATTGAATCATTGAGCTTAAAGTAATGAGTAAAATACATGTTCTTTTAGATCAAAATTTTTGGGTTGGTAATCGAAAGTGACGATATTCATTTGGCTTTCAGTCTTTCACTTTAATTCAAGGTTCCCAACATGCTTTTGCTGTGAAGTTTAATAACAATAAAAGAAACAAAATTTGCTCTAATGATACCCACACAAAGCTTGTGTTATTCAACAGTTATGACTACTCTTTTTACTTTAATTATTAGTATTATGTGTTTACTTTTCCGACACATTTGTAGAAGTATTATCATTAGTATTATGTTTCCATTAAGAAAAAGCTCATCCTGATTTCTACTTGCTGTAGATCCATTTTAGATTCCCCTATGGCTCCAACAGCGGCAGCAGCTTCGGATTCAATTAAGCCTAGAGGTATAAAATCTTTACGTTTTGATGCATCGAGAAAGTTTGCATAATTGATGACATTTACAGTTGGATAATTAATTTATACATTTGGTGGTCGAGTTCAAAAACTCCACAAGCGGTTTTTATTCACTTAATATATAATAACCTAACTAATAGTTGAATAAAGATTCGCTTATTTATAGTTAGAAAGCTGCAAGCCAAGTGTATAAACCCACCTGTTTGACTTGTATAGATAATAATCCTTTACCATAAATGCTCTAGCCTATAAAAATTTAAAATTATTAAGATCATGTTAAGACAATGGGTTGGTCATCCCTTAAGAAACCTAAAACTTCAAATTTCAGCTTGCTGATGGTTTGTTCAATGTTCACTGTATATTTTGTACAGATGTTTGTGTTGTTGGTGTTGCACGCACACCAATGGGTGGATTTCTTGGCTCTCTTTCATCTTTATCTGCCACCAAGCTTGGATCAATAGCTATAGAAGGTTTGATTGGAAAAACTTTGGTTTACCTGTCTGATGTTTGGTTTCATTTTTATATATTTAGGATGCTCTTCCATATTTCTTAATTGCTATATATGTCATCTTGCAGCTGCTCTTAAAAGGGCGAATGTTGATCCATCACTTGTGCAAGAAGTTATCTTTGGCAATGTTCTCAGTGCAAATCTAGGGCAGGCTCCAGCTAGACAGGCTGCATTGGGTGCAGGAATTCCTAACTCGGTTATCTGCACTACCGTGAACAAAGTCTGTGCATCTGGGATGAAAGGTGTGCACCTTATGATTTAAGAGTTATGTTTTAAATGCCTTAAAAGGAATATTTATTAAATGATTTTTCTCCTTTCTTTTTGCTTGGGGGTATTGCAGCAACAATGCTTGCAGCACAGAGCATTCAATTGGGCATGAATGATGTTGTTGTGGCTGGTGGCATGGAGAGCATGTCTAATGCACCTAAATATTTGGCAGAAGCAAGGTCAACACCTCTCTCTCATTCAGGGTCCCCATGTTGTTGTATTCAAGTTGTGATTTCTGATTCAGTATTAGCATGCAGGAAAGGATCTCGACTTGGGCATGATACTGTTGTTGATGGAATGCTGAAAGATGGACTATGGGATGTTTATAACGATTGTGGCATGGGCAGCTGTGCTGAATTATGTGCAGAGAAACATGTCATTTCAAGGGAGGACCAGGTATTATGTTCTCTCAAGGTCACTTGATGAATAATACTTTCTTGCCTGGCTTGAAATTTTGACTTATCTTCATATTTCTGTAGGACAACTTTGCTATTCAGAGCTTTGAGCGTGGTATTGCTGCCCAACAGGGTGGTGCCTTTGCATGGGAAATTGTTCCGGTTAGACATATATTCTTAATATTAAGTTTGTGTATCATTATGTATATACTATTGTATATAACTAAATTTGGTGCCGTGCAGGTTGAAGTTTCGGGAGGAAGGGGAAAGCCATCCACCATTGTTGACAAGGATGAAGGTTTAGGAAAGGTAAACATAATTTAGAACCATCCATCAGTTTTCATACTTTGCTGCTTTCTTTTCATCTCTTTAAGTTGCCTAGATAAATCACATAGATATTAGATCACTGGAATAATGGGTATTTTTTAAATATTGCTTTCATTTCAGTTTGATGCTGCAAAATTGAGGAAGCTGCGACCAAGTTTCAAGGATAATGGAGGCACTGTTACTGCTGGCAACGCCTCTAGTATCAGGTCAACTACATAACATCTTTATTTACTTACACTTAGCCCAGAATTTCATTTATGTCAAGCCATAATCAAATTGGGAATGCTTAAGTAGAAGAACCTCTTGACTGAATTCTACAGTAAACAATTTGGTCATGTTATATTGGTAGCTTATTTTCCACTTTGATAAATCATTATCTATCGGACCCTTATTTAGGGTTGTGCAATCATGCAGTTGCATGTTTGGTCAAAGTATTACTTTTCGTTGGTTCATTTTGAGGAGTGATTTTCAATTTGACCTTGCAAGTCTTTTAAGGACATGATCTGGAGTTTGTAATTAAAGTGAAACTGGTCTCGTTGACAGTGATGGTGCTGCTGCTTTAGTCCTAGTGAGTGGAGAAAAGGCAATTAAGCTAGGACTGCAGGTGATTGCTAAAATTACGGGATATGGTGATGCTGCTCAGGTACTTTCATATGTTTAAATTTGAAGAAATGGTTAAAGAGCCTGCCAAATCAGAAATATCAAACTTCACTTTTGACATTAAGTGGTGAACAACGTTATACTTACATTAGAGTGATTCCAGGCACCTGAGTTTTTCACAACAGCTCCTGCCCTTGCTATACCAAAAGCCATTTCAAATGCTGGCCTGGATGCTTCTCAAATCGATTACTATGAAATAAATGAAGCCTTTGCTGTAAGATTCCATTCCTTTTTCTAAATGTATTATTTTCTTATAATTGATGAAGTTGGCAATTTGAAATAATGCATCATTCTCTGCAGGTTGTGGCTCTTGCAAACCAGAAACTGCTTGATCTTAATCCAGTGAGTTCTTAAACTAATAGAAACCTTTTTCTCTCTCTTGATGCATCTGGTTATGTATTTTCAAGTTTAAACCTTTGAATATGAAATGCTACAAGTGAGGTACAAATGGAGGCCATTTGCTTAATCTGAAGTTTTTTCCACCTTAAATGGTTACAGGAGAAGGTTAATGTGAACGGTGGAGCTGTATCATTGGGACATCCTCTGGGTTGCAGTGGAGCTCGTATCTTGGTGACACTTTTGGGGGTATTGAAGCACAGAAATGGGAAATATGGAGTTGGTGGTGTTTGCAATGGAGGTGGAGGTGCATCTGCACTTGTTGTGGAGCTTTTGTAAGACTTTTTATGTTTGGTAAGTCTCGTGTGTATTAAAGTAGTTATCAATTCATAATATTGCTGACTGAGCTCAATATAGACTGTGCTATCTCAGCGGGATTTTGTTTATTAAATTTAAACACTTGGTAGTAAGTAATAACTCTTAATCATTAAAAACTGCATAAATGAATGATCTTCCGGTCCATGCAAGAAAAAACAGTCTTTTTTATCATTAGCTGCTCTTATTTCAAGTAAAAAATCAATTATTCATCAAAGGAAGGAAATCCTTTCTGCGTTGGGTATGCGTTGTGTGTTGGAATATTTGTGTCCAGTGTAAGAATCCATTTGTGGCAAGGATGTTAAGGCTTAAGATCTAGCTTCCTTCCTTTGCAACTAGAAAATAAAATCTATACCTTTAGGTACCTAATTTCGTTTTGACAAGGGTAATAAGACTTTTAAACTGCTTAAGCATTAATTATGTATTGAATCATGTCTCCAGGTTTGATTAGCTCTTTCTTTTTCAGGTTTGAGATGATGTTGTGGAGGATAAACCCATGCCGCCGAAGACAGTTTTATGTAGTGCAATTTGATCTTAATTTTTGCTTTTACTCCCCAATAAGCTGTAGCAATTCTTGATTAGCTTTGAGAAGAAATATATTTATAATCTACTTCACATTCCTCTGTTTTAGCTCCTTTTCTCCAAGTTCAGTTCTTGAGTTAGCGTGGGGACAAGTGTGATGATATAGGAATAGGCGTAGCGCAAACCTTATAAGGCTGTGTCCGCCCTAGTGATGGCAATGCAACATTATTGGATGCTCTTAATTGACGTTGTTGGATATCACTAAGGATTCAGTTTATATTATTAAATGTTAGATTATGAAAGCTCATGGTTAGGTGAGCCATGACGATCCCTATTTAATGAACTCACATCAAATCTCGTTGTTGTGCTAAACCATCGAAGCTGGTCTTACAGCCCGGCTTGAATAATGCTATTTGAAAACGATTAAATCATGAATTTAACCTCCTTTACTGCTAAAACAAGATCAGTCAAGAGGTTTATTTAAGAATATAAGTGAAAAGATCATTTTTAAAGTCTCATGTTGGAACATATTTTCTTAAATTGATAAATAAATATATCATTTCGAGAAATGATAATGAGTAGCTATTGCATTCCCCAAGAGTTGAATAAACAATTGGTCCGTATTTCCTATGATTATTTTATGTAATGATGGGTTACTTTCAGTACTAATCTTGTGTCGTTACATACTAGTACAAAATTGGCATCATGGTTTGGAGGGATTATTAGGGGCCAACATGGAATGGAATGGCATGCCTACCATCTCTCCCCCGCTGTCTCTACACCAATGGCAAATTGAGAAGAAAAGTTAGGAAAGGTAATCTAACGGGTGGGTGTGCCTGCAATTGCATAGCTGGACGATAATCAATAAAAGAAAAATAATGGAAAAGAAGAATAAAAAGAGTGGGCTCCCACCAATGCTAGTCCACATTTATCTCTCTCTCTTGGCCCAATTGGCCCACCTTCCATCTCTCTCCTTTGTCCGAAAAAGACAAATCAAAAACTAATCAGAATCATCAAAAAGGAAAAAGGCGGAGGGGCACAAATCCCAGAGCGATCCTCTGCATCTCTTCCTAACGAAATCATGGCGGTAACTTCCCTATTTCCTTCTTCCCTTCTCTTTTTCATATTCCCATAAATGTATATAATGCTATTTATTTATCTACGCCCATCCTTTTTACGTTTCATTTCAAGATTGGACTGATCTTTCTTTTTTTAATTGTAAATTTTTGCTTTTAACAGTGTCCGTTGCATCTGCTTATTGTTGCTGAATGTTTGTGATTAATAAATTTCGATTTGTTTATTCGTTTTTCGAATGAATTTGTTGGCCTTCATATTAAGTTGTTTCTTTTCCTTAATTCAATTCTCTGCTCATTTCCCTTTTGAGATGCTGTGATTATGGATTTCGGTAAAAAAATAAAAAGATTTTTGTTTATTTCTTCCTTTTTCTCAGCTTTTAATTTTACGGATTAGGCTCTCAAATTTATATCTTTTTTTTAATTTAAATTTATTTTACCATTTCCTTTTATTTATGGATATCTATTTTATCTTTATATGTACAATTACGTATTGATTTCCTAATTCTCAAGTTCGGACTTTTTTTGGGAATTTGATGGGTCACATTGTCCAATTTTCTTCTTTGATACTTCCCGTGAATCTGCAACAAGCTCAATCACTCATTGCTTGTAATTTAATATGCTACCAGGTTTCATCTCGAAATCAAATTACATAATTGGTTGAAACCTGCAAATGAAATCATTATTAATGTTTCACCGTATCAGTGGTGCCTTTATGGTTATTTGGTGTGCCAGATTGTTGTTTATGTAGCTATTGTTAATTAGCATGTATTTCTCTGATTCAATAACTCTTTTGTTAATCAAAGATTATTCAGACTTGAGTGAATTTGATTATTCCTTACCTTATTGAGAAATAGTTGTTTTTAGCTATCAAAGTTATTCTTGTTGGTGTGGTGTCATTGTTTCTCCTTTGCATCTGTATATGTATTTTCTTAGATATCCTAATATGAGTTGGAAGTTTAGCTGAAGGGCAAACCTGAAATGCATAGTCAGCGAGGGCTTTGATTTTTTCTTTTCCCCAGATACAAATAGGCTCACCAAGTTTTGGCTACACAACAGAAAATTCCTCTCTCCGTCCCCATTAACCACGGCCCCTTATTTTCAGGATTGAAACCTGAAACCTCCCAGTTACAGTCTCAAGTTCTAACCACCAGATGTCCTCATGGGGACATCAGTAAAGACCTTGATATGCTTATTTAAAAGTGAATATTTATGAATGTTTTCAGTTTATATGCCTGTATTAGAACTATAAAGAATGGTTATTTGCAAGGATAATAGAGAGTAACTGTAGGTGGAAAATGTTAAAATATACAGGATAAAGGATATTATGACTGCTTATCTTAGTGTCATTTCTGCATGTCCTGTTTTAATGATAGGAATAAGTTGTATGTACATACAGTATCTATGCTTTCAATGTTGTCCTACCTTGTTTTAAATTGTATAGTTTCTACTTCTTTCGTCTGTCATTGCTTAGGAGTATAGTTATTTGAAATTTAGTATAGTTATTTGAAATTCTGTGTCTATGTTGTTACATGTCAAGTTCATCTTCATGAACCAGCCATTGTTTATCATATATCCTTTCTTGATTGGGCAAACATCATGAACCGGCTGCTAGCATTTAAGAAGGTTGAATCACCTTCATTAATGTATCTGGCTAGTTTCTTTAAGTTGATGTACATGAGCTGCTATAATATGCAGGACAAGGGTCGACCATTGCCAAAGTTTGGTGAATGGGATGTCAATGACCCTGCATCAGCTGAGGGATTTACAGTTATCTTCAACAAGGCTAGAAATGAGAAAAAGACAGGTGGCAAGGTTGACTCACCAGGGAGAAATGACCCCACGTACAAGCAAGGGGCTGTTCTTGGAAAGCCTCAATCTGTAAGTAGTAATCCTGCTTATGCTTTATTTTTATTGCATTTACAGAGGAATTTCTCTAGTTTTGTTTGCTGTGAGCACTTCCTCATAAATGTCTTGAAGCATTACTTTTCTCACTCATAAATGTCTTTTCCTGGATGCTTATGATTTTCTACTATTAAAGAATTTCTGTGTATTGAATTTATTTTTATACTGACCTTGTCACCTTTTTGTTATTTGGCAATATGTGGAATTCTCTTCTGGCATTCACAAAATTGGGATATTTTTAAAGTTGTATTTGTTTTCTAGTAGCATGTTCATGCCCCCTTTAGACACTTCCTTTTCTAATTTATCAAAGAGAGAATGGTCCTACTTGGAGTGGATTGGTAAGGGTCCTATCATCTAGCATTTTGCATATAGTGACTGCTCTTAAACTTGGATCTGCATACTTATCCTTGTCAGTTCCGGGCTATGTCAAAACATAGTAAAAAAGTGGAAATAGAAGGATGGAAAGCTAACATCTCCTTCAATGGTGCATTCATTTGTTTGTATCACTATCTTTTTTTATTTCTCCTCCATTGATGTCACTTCCTGATTCGTACAAATGCCATCATGTGACATTCTTGTCCTCTTCTGTGTTTTCATTTCATCTGTATTTTTAACACACTATTTATTGTTCTTTGACAATTTCTTTGAGGGTGGTTAGAAGTGTCTAGCTTGTTAGTGCAATGTATTATTTGGGCAGCTTCTTGTTCTCGCTGGGACCCCTTGAGCAAGGGCACATGTGTATGTGCATGGTTGGAATTTTCAGTGGGGCTGCTGCTAATTTTTCATGATATTTATGGCTTCACAATATTGAATATATATATATTTTTGTTCAATGTTGTGAAATGCAGCAGAAAAAATGGTTTTGCTGTATACAAGCTGCTCATGCAGACTAAAGAGGTGGCTCTTACAGCGTAAGAGCTTCCAAAAGAAAGCATTAATTATGTACACCATAACCATGCCCGTTAGCAATGATCCAGAAGACTGGAGCTGTATGAGAAGCTATGATAGGTCCTGGTGGGATGTGTTAGTTGCCAGTTTGAGCAATGGCGATGATGTGGGCGTGGGATGAGAGAAGAATGTAGTTTTACGTTTATGTGCATTGCTGGGTTGTTACTTGCATATTTTTGGCTCCCTTGTTAATTCAAATATGTTATGTTATGGGTTGACACTATTGTTTGTGACATTTGTAATGTAATCTGTATTAATTTTTTGGGTGGACCTGATTTTCTTGTGTGTACCTTCATATATCTAATACTAAATCAAACTCTCCCTTTTCTCAAATTTTTTTCTCTTGGAAGATCATAATAATGCAATCAGATTTTGGCAAAAAGTGTGCTCCACATGATGCATGAAAAGATTAAAGACATACATTGCACCATATTTTTTATTACCTTTGGCAGTTTAAAACAATTGTTGCTTATATATTATTTCCAAAAGAAAGATAACGAACGAATAACAGAAAAGAAACAAACATAATCTTGCTGAAAAAAATCAATACTGATGTGTTCCACTCAGAATGAATTAGATAATTTGGTGCCACAAAAATGAGCCATCTTCCAAAGAACAACCTTGGCTATTGATGCCACAACATTGAATTACTCTCTGTAAACCTTCTCTACGCATGGTCATAAATCAGGTGGAGGGCAGCCCCTGTCATATTCGTGGTAAAATTAGGCACACAACTACTGCTAGTTAAACCACAGATCAGATGAACCTCCAGCTTGGAGTAACATACTCAATAAACACCCATGGCTAGACTCTGGATGTTCCAAGTTTTCGCTCAAATAAACGTCTCAGAAGGTAAACTTGAAGAATGCTAGCCCCAATAAGTGCAGCTGATTCAAGCATTGCCTTGTGAATTGCTCGACGACCCATGCTATCATTCACTGCAGTCAAATTATAGCAAAAGTAAAATGAATTTTGCTTGCCTATTCCTTGGGACAAGTTAACAACTAAAGCTGTGACCATGTCAAAGGACAAAAAGAAGAGAAAAAAAAAAAAAAAAGGCCACGGACATTTTTGTACCATTATTGTCAACTAAAACAAGCCTAGTATTCATGGCAGCAGAACTGAGCTCCCTTTCCAACAGGACAACATTTTGACTGACAAGAAGTGGAACGGATCCAAATATCCTTAAAGTAGGGATAGTTATGCTAGGAATTGGCCATGGATTGATGACATAGCATAAACCATTACTGCTTTTTGAGAAAAAGCATTTAGCGCAAGACTTTGAAGGATTCGTGGTGGCAAGAAGTACAAAATATAGAAAGAAAGCAAAAACAGTTCTTCAAAGCTACCTATTGCCTGTCGGTCCGTCTGAGCCTCTATCCAGTGCTGTTCGAATTGGATGTTGTAAAGAGCTTCCTCCAACTTTGATATCTGCTCAAGCAAGGGGGCAATGTGCTCTGCAGACATCATTCAAAAGGAAGTAATCATTTTTCCTCTTTTAAGGGGTTATAGACGGGGAAAAAAGGAAGCAGGGGAACATGCTACTCACCATCCTTTGCATGCTGCTCCTGGTATGGAAAATGCGCAAGTTGTACATCAAAGTCAATGGTTTCATGGTAAGGAGACTTGTTGTAGAAACAGAAACGGTAAACCCCTTTCTGTTGGACCACAAACTCGTATTTTTCACTTGTCTTGTCACGAAAATCATGAATCTGTTCTCCGGAAGGTCCCTTTATCTGAGAACCAAAACAAGTTTAAGCTTAATAAGTGGTTTAAGAACATTTGTCAAGATGTTACTTTTGAAAATATTTTTATATTAAATACATTATTCATAATTAATATGATGATTTCCAATACATTAAACGAAGAAATGAATTTAAATAGTAACCTCAACAAGTGTTCTGAGAGAACATGTTCAGAAAGATCCCATATTCATTTGTTTAGCGTTCATCACATGTTTCAAGTGCTTGTCATCCAATATCTGAAACTCTAGCTGAGATAATTAATTTTAATAGATCCCTTTAACACTTGGACATAGGTCACTATTGGATTTTTCTCCTGAATAATTGCTTCCATTCTCATCAAATTCACCTCTAAACTTCTTCTGATGATTGTAGATTTAGTCATAGTAAAGTTAGCAGAGGCAGCAAAAGAAAAAGCGGGCTATAACACCATCCCGTATATTAAAGGGTCTTGGATGTAAAATCCAAAACAACAAAAACACTTAACTAACTGATGCATCTCCATTTATACATACTAATACAGATCATCGCTACCTATATACTTCCCATACTCTCCCCATTTTCATGAGTTTCACAAGCTAATTGGAAGAAAACCATCTAATTTAGTGCCTATTGTTCTTGTTTAAACCAATTATCAATAAGAAAAAGTCTCCGGGAATAACCAAAGACATCTTATCCCATCTATTCAAGAAAGCATAAACAGAAAAAAAACACAAACATAGATGTCCACAAAATGCCCACATTCACACAAAAATCTTGCAGGAAATATTTTCTTCCCATTAACATTCTTTTGCTAGCTTCCTTCACATAATTACCCTTTAATTCGACATTTCAATACAACAACCATTGAACAACAAACAATAAACCATCTATCTATCTGGTAAAACAAGTCGAGCCCCATATTGCCAAAACGAATGAAAAGGCGAAAGGAAGAAACAGAAACGTACCACAAGATCGATACCTTCGTCGCTAAAATGCCAAGGGGAATCAGCCTTAATGACGACGAAAGAGACATGAAGAGTGTCTCCTTCGTACTTGGCATCCTGAGATAGGCATTCTTCTCTGTCTATCACAAATCTCACTCCTTGTGTTCCTTTTAAACTCCACAGAAACAAACCCATTGCAATCCACGCAATTTCAACGCTTCTCTTCCATCCCTTTCCCGCCATCTGATGTACGAAACAATAAGAACCTAGGAATCAGATCCCTGCTTCTTCTCAGTAAAGACCAGATCAGAGATAAATTAAGAAAACTTCAATAATGTCAATAGCTGCTAGTCTTGTCGCTCAAAAATCTAATATGGGTGTAATTGATTTTGAACAAAAGAAAAAAGGTACTTCAATCGAAGAATTAGTTTAGCTTTTCCTTTCTTTGCTGTTTCCAGTTTTAGAAACAGGAAGGAAGAAGAACAGATCACCAACGTTAAAGTGGTGTTTGTAAAGGAAACTCAAACTTGATGAGTTGGACCGGAACTTCCCTTCACTCCCCCTTTTCTCAACTCCACGATGTCGTTTAAGCTGCCCGTTGTCTCACTCACGTGTCGGGACTTGATTGGAGGAGACAACACCATAGCCAATAGAACGTTTCCACGTCCTCCTCAGACAAACCTACTAATTTTATTAGTTTTAATATTATAACACATACGATATGTTGTGGGGGGTTTTTTTTTTTCAATTAACATCCTGAGTCCCCGAAAGAATTTAAGTTATTAATTTTGCCAATTAAATACATCTTTGGGAAGAAGTTAGCTCCAGAAAGTAATCCTGGCTCAGGACTTCAAGGCATGTTGCTTGGATTGTTCACTGCAAGAATTCAGTTTGATCATACCCAATTCTCAATACTGTTTGTCCCTAACTTATTCACTTAAAAAAAAAAAGGCCAAACGAAAGGAGGAAAGCCGACGCTCGGCCGAGCGAGGAACGTTCGTCCGCTTAGACGGTCGCTGCTCTCAGGTGCAGCCAGCGCGGCCGCGGCCGCCTGGGCGGCCGGGGCGCGCCGCGGGCGCGCCGGTCAGCACGGAGACGCAGGCGGCCAGCGGCCCCGGCGTCGCCGGTCCGGCGGGCCGGCCGCGCCCGAGCCGGCCTGCATCGGGCCCGGCGACCGCCCGGGGCGAGCGCCCCCGTTCCCGCCGGGAGGCGCGCGCGGCGCCCGCACGAGCGGCGCCGCCGACGGCCGCCGCGGCGGCGCCGCGCGCGGCCGGCACCCGCGCGGGGCCATGCCACGGCCGCGCCCCCTGGGGGGCCGCCCCGCGGCACCGGCGGCCGCGCCGGCGCCGGGGGCCCGGCACGCCGGGGGGCGGGCCGGCCGGGCGCCGCGGCGGCGGGACGCGCCGCCGGCGGCGGCGGCCGGGGCGGCGCGCGCCGGCGCGCGGCGGCGCCGGCGGCTCGACGGGCGCGCCGCGCGCGGGCTCGGGCCGGCGCGCCGCCGCCGCGGCGCGCGGCCGCCGGGGGGGGGCGGGGGGGGGCCGGCGGGCCGGCCGCGCCGGCGGGGCGGCGGCGGCGGCGAGATGAGCAGATGATTTCATCCTGCTTATAAGACTCAACTGTTTCAGGTGAAATTGCCTAAAATATAACTTTGGGAAGAAGGGTTGATGCCCGACTTCCAAATCTTCCACTACTCCAAGATGTATCCAGAAAATTAAAAAGAGTCAGATCCAGAGAAGAACAGGGGCTTGTATCTGTTTACTTCAAATTTCAACAACAAAAAACCTGCTATTAAAATCATAGATTTCGACTTTACATATGAAATCGCTAAGTATAGGCAGCTGCACAACTTAACACACAAGCACAATGGCTATACAACCAAAATTTTCTTTGCTTAGTCACAGTTACTGGTAATTGATTTTTTCTTTTTCTCTACAACATATGAACATTGTGTAACAGAGTTAATCACCTTCAAGCAGAGACACTCGATACGTGAAAGAACCTAGGATTTATCTGGCAGTTGCACCAGTTGATTGCTTGAGAAGGCTATGCTTCTCTCTTCCATGCACAGCTTCTTGTAAAGTCCGTGTTGATGAGCGATAAACTGCAAGAATAAATCCCTCAGCTCCTTAGCTCTCTTGTATTCCTCAGTCCCAAAACAAACAAGCTTCAATTCATTGATAAATCCACCACCACTTCTGTTTCGTAATTTTTTCTGTAAAATGTAAATGCTAAATCAAGTATTTGTATGTTTGAAACTGGATAGTGTTAAAAAGGCATCAAGGTCCAAATGCTTGTAAGATTGTGGTTTAATGGGGTATGCACGACCATCTTTAAACATTTCATTCTAGTGAAAATAGAATTAATACACTTGTATAAGACTTACAGGGGATTCAAGCATCACGGTCCAATGATCATTCATTGACATTTTTCCAGCAGCCACCCATGGTCTGCAGGCAGTGATATGAAGAGATGATCTAAGAACAACTCTAAAGTATTACACTCCAAAGAAATTGCAAAAGAGTTTGGCTGAATGTAAAGCAAAATTGACATCATTGTATTACTTCCCAAGGCATTCAACAAAAAAACTCATCAACCAACTTGAGTAAAACTATTTGCAGGGAAGACAAACTTGCAAAAAGGCAGCTAGAGGATGAAAAAAGAACAGGCCTTAACAATTTAATTACCATAAGAATGGATTATGCAAATCTGATTTAGGAAAAAAAAGACAGAAAAGAGAAATGCGAAAGGGGAAGCTATATACATGAGCCAATGACCAACAAGTAAATGCTGAAGGGTTCAACAACAGCACAAACAAAATGATAGAATCATTGGTTAATGAAACTAATTCTATCTTGTATAAAGTCTACAAGGACAACACAACCATGTATACGTTATCACATACCTCCCATTTGAGGACACAACAAAGTGATTAGGATTGTCCAAAAAACCAAACAACTGTTCAAGATCTTTTCTGCAATCCAACACAATGACACCATTGGTGTATGACTCCCATGGTAAACTTGGAAAAATATATGCTTGAGATGCAATTGAGGTTTGTTTATGTATGAATTCGAGAACTGTTGATGAAGACAATTCCTTTTCAAGATTCTGAACTAGTATCATGTGATACTTTTTTTCCCCTCCTATATCAGTATCCTGTCTATTTTCACTACGAATTTTTGCCCCTCCTATAACAGCTGCAATCAAAATCCAATATTACAACAATGAATATCTATCAATTTTAATTGAACATTTATTGCAACCAAAAATAAAGACAAACCTTCTGATGGCCACACTTTACTCAAAGAACGCTGAGAACACTTTCCCTACAAATAGGCAGTCAGAGCATCAGTTTTCGATCTATTGCTATGTGCTTAGACAAAAACTCTCTAAACATCACAAACGAAAGAAATTACTTGTCTTGATCTCCCAATAGAACTTAGATTCTGCTTGACAATTGGGCTACCATTTGCTTCATGTAGAAAAACAGGATTGAAAGCAACATCATCAATAGTGTCAGAACCAAAGTTACACAAAGCTTTCTCTATTTTCTGCGTTGCTATCTCCATAAAAGTTGCAAGTTTTGGTTCTAACTCTGCACTTTGGAGAAGGCATATACTTGCGACCCCCTTTTCTACTACATTCCCAACGTTAGGGCCATGTAGCCAAAAGAGCAGGAAGGTGCACTCACACTCTTCTTCTCCATTTACATTAGAATGCTTCTTATGCACCACCTGAAAAATAGCCCACTTTCTAAATTCAATAGAAATATGAACTCAACATAACTCTTTATATAAAACAAAGGAAAAGCAAACAATATTTCCAAGAATAAACAATTAAAATTAACCATTATCAACAACAAAATGCATGATTTTACCCTTTTAGTATAGAATTACTATATTAAAAGCAAAAAATACGGAAAAAAAAACAGTAACATTAAAATGAAGCCTTTTCATAGTTTCACCAAATGGAAGCAATATCAGAGGGAAAATTTGCAAATATGCAAGACCTTTATTCCAAGCACAACTTAGAACAAATAAAATGTGTTATATAATGGGTAATGATGAATAAATTAAATACACTCATACTATTTTTTTCTGTTTGAGCCAAGAAAACGTATACTATGCTAGTAACCTTTTGTTCCCAACAATGTAGCATCAATACAAAAAATAAAGGGAAAAAAGAATAAAAGTAAACAAAGAATATGAAAACCCATTTCGGTAAAGGCATGAGACGTTTGAAAAGACGCAAGCGAAAGAGTTGTACGGACATCATCGACAATGGCGTCGTAAAAGAGATTGTCGTCGTTGCCCAAAGAATCAGAAGCACAAACACGCATGCCTCTGACGACCTGGTAGCAGTCGCGATCCTGGAGCTGGGCGGAGACCTTACGGAACCTTGCTATGAAGTCGTAAAGCTCGTCCTCGGACTTGAAACGTTCGGCGAGGAAAACGTTGTCGTGTTCCTCAGGGAAGTTTTCGTACTTGACTCTTAGCTTATCACCTCTTTCGCCCTCTAACAATACTCGAACACTATACCAGGCGTCGTCTGGGTACGACCGAAACTCCGTGTCGTAGCTTTCCTCCGCCGATGAAACCTCCTCCACGGAGGAGCTGTCATCGCCGAAATGAGACATTATTTTCCTAGAATTTTAAGCTGTTTCGCTTGGGTTTTGGGAGGGTGGGTTTGGTAGTTTGCAGGGAAAAGCCTTTAAAAGGAGTGCAGCATAAAATATTCTCAATTGTAAATGTATGTGCAGCGTTTTGGCTTTATTTTGGATCATCAAAACAGAAATTGAAAGGTTTTTTTACGTTTTCTATTTTCCCTTTTTTTTTAATCTTTTGTATTTTTCACAAACCAAACATGGCCGTGATTTTGTAAAGGATAATTCTGATCTTCCTCGAATTGGCAATAAAAATGTATCCCTTTTGGTTTTTTTAATTTTATTAAAATACAAACGCTTTTGATTTTAATTTTGACACTTTGTTTCAAGTAAGAAAATTAAAAAATAAAATAATTATTATGCAAAATTAAATTAAAGTAAGAATAACTATCATTGCAATATTTGATTGATAAAATATTTTTAAAATAATAAAAAATATAAATTTTATATTATGAATATATGTATGAGTGTCCATTGCACCCTTCAATACTTTAAATTTATGTATCTAATTATGTAAATACATTTCTATTTTTTAAGTGCATTCCATGTATATGCATTCTATGTACTAAGTTCATTCTCTCTACATGTATTCATTCTCTTATTTATTTAAATTTATTCTCCCTCCATTTATGGTACTTGAACAAAAAATAAAATAAAAAATCTTCTTACTTTCTTAATACTTCTTTCAAATTATATTTCTTTATTATAATTTTTTATTTAAAAGATTTAATTTTTTTATAATTTATTTAAAATATTATTCAAATTTATTAAAATTTTAATATTATTATTTTATTTTCATTTTTTAAAATATTAAAATATTTATAATTTATAATAAAACTTTAGTATAATTATTTATTTTAATTTTGTTTTTTTTCTCTAATTTCAGTTTTAAAATATTAAAATATAATAATTTATAATTTATTTATAATTATAATATTAATATAATTTTTTCAACTAACCGCTAAAATGGAATCAATACAAGGGAACATCGATCTGATACTCTCTACCACCAGATCTATTGCTTGATGCTTCTTAAGATCAGATCTAATTGTGGAGTTGATGCTTCTCATGACTAAATCTAGTCATGCAATGCTGGATTGGCCGTCGCCATTGAAAGAACTGATGAAAGATAACGACAATGGAGGAAATTTAAAGAGAGTATAGAAGCAAATGAAGTAGAGAACGCAATGAAAAATATGAAAATGAAAGCTTTTATAATTTAAGGTTAGGTTTTAATTAAATATATATATATATATAAATAGTAATATCATAAAATCAATAAAGATATTTTTGTCTAAAAATTTTTGCGACCTCCTCTCTTGGCTTGCAAAATAACTATTAACAAAGGAAAAATTCAATAAGAGCTAACTTTTCTCATTGCATTAATAAGGTTAATGTAATGTTTTGTGATGTAATATAATAAAAAAATTATGCACAATACATTTATATTAAGTTTAATGTTTTAAAGAAGAAAATAAAAATATCTTAATAAATTAATTTTTTATTAATTAGTATATAAATTAATAAATTATTAATTAAATAATAATAATTAATTAATGATCCTAATATTTTTAATTTATAGAGGTTTAAACATTGCCATCACAAAAGGACTATTCATTCCCAGTACAGTCATTCTGATTAAAGCAAAAAAAAAA